TGTGTGTGTGTGTGTGTGTGTGTGTGTGTGTGTGTGTGTGTGTGTGTTGTAGTAAGCCAGTTTAAGAGTTGCTAAACATATTTTCAGTTTATTTAGTCTTAACTTTTCTTTGTGGTTTTCTTGCGTAGATGTTTTGTAGTTATTCTCACTTACGGCAGCCCAGCTCATCCGACCCGTCTCCACAGTCATCATAATCATCGCAGGCGTACTGAAGAGGGATGCACTGCCCGTTACTGCATTTATACTCCTCGTCTGTACAAGGTCCGTGCGTGGGGTTTTGACCTGGGGGGAGACAACAAATCAGCTGAGGAGAAGATGCAGAATTATCTACCTGTTCTGTTCTAAATCCATTTACACAAAAAGAGCATCAGTGACTACAGCGATCTTGCAACTGTACTCACAGTTTTCCTGTTTTTCATCCGAGCCGTCACCACAGTCATCAACAGAGTTGCACAGCTCGTGGCTGTAGATGCAGCGGTTATTGTCGCATCGGAAACGAAACGGAGCCTCGCACTCGATGTCCACTGAGGATGAACAGAATCAGAAAGCCTGAAGTAAATCTTAATATGCGGTCCTGTAACTGTGTAATGTGATTTAGGAGCGTAAAGAAGCAACTATCTTTGTGTGTGTGCATGTTTATTTCTCACAGCAGAGGTGCAGCTCCTCGTCTGAGTCGTCTCCACAGTCGTCGTCTCCGTCACATTTCCAGTGGGGCTGGACACAAATGTGGTTCTTGCATTCAAACAGGAAGGGTGGGCAGTATGTGCCGTTGGGAAAGCGGGTTGCTAGAAAACAAAACAGGTGGGGTATCTTTCAGTGATATGTTTAAAAATCACCATCACCTGTGAGTTTAGTTGGATTTTATTCTTAAATTTCTTGAACAGAAGTTAAGTTATGTTCACTTTTCCATATTGTATTTGTTTTTGCCTTGGTCTCTTTGTGTCTTTATATTTCCTGTAAAGCTTTTGGCTTACTTAATATCGTCTTCATTTTCTGTTTTAATTTTTATTTTACACAGAATCCCTTTGTTAAATGCAGTCACACTAGCTCTGGATTCTGGTACTGCCTTTTGCTCATTGTTCATTTGTCATTAGTTCATCTATATTTTTCCTGGAGGAATTCATCACTGTCAGACCATTATGTTCATCACACCTTGTGCTTTATTACTGATCCATCGTGTGGATTTGATTTTCTTCACATTATGTGCTTCTGCAGTACTTTATATTTATTTTCGGAGTAACAAAGGCACGTCAAGTTTTTTGTAATTTTGTCTGCTTTAAGTAAATGATAAATGGACTGTACTTACATAGTGCTTTTCTATCTTATCAAGATACTCAAAGCGCTTTACATTACAATCTGTGCCCTCAAACCAATGCAGTCGTGTTCCTGTTTTTAGTTTTCTACATCGCTTTACATTCTAGCTTTTTTTGTTTCGTGTTTTTAATACCATTTTCTTTCATTTATTCTTCTCAATTCATATGCTTTCTTTTATGTTGTCGTCTTTGTTATCTAGTGTTGTCATCATTCTTTGCTAAAAAACAGGTATCTCTTGTGAATGAGTCCCTGAGGCTCAAAGAGACTAACCTGTTTAAATAAAAGTTAAATTTACTCATTCATACAATGGCACTCTACTATATCTCTACAAAGCTAATTGAACAAATATTTCTAAAAAGACTTATCAGTGCTTTATCACATTGATGGGACACACATTGAAGGCAATGAGGGGTTCATTGTCTTGCTCGTGGACACTTTGACATGTGACTGTTGGTGGATTTGAACCCCCAACTCTTGCACTGGGCGATGACTGCTCTAACCACTTAGCCACAGCCACCCAAGTGATCCTTAAGTGATCCTCAACTCATTATACAACCAAACTCATAAAAGCAAAATCTTTACTATATTTAACAATTTTCAATCAGGTCATCTGGACAGTTTCTTTTTTTGTGTTGAAACCTGGATTATTGAGCATGGACTTTGTTGGTTTTGAACCAGTTTGACATGACTGTCGACGAGGAAGAGGGCCGGCACTGGAGGAGTGGGCGTGTCAAATACACCATCTTAGCACCAACATAACTAGTTTGTTTCACTTTGGAGTAAGCTGTTTGGGGGAAGAATCAGTTTTGTGTTGTGTGTTTCCTTGACTGATGAAGCCTTCTGGATGGAAGGTGAAACGTTTCAACACACAAAAAAAAGAAATTGTCCAGATGACCTGACTGAAAATTGTTGGATTGTATACCTGGATTATTGAGCATGGACTTTGTTGGTTTACTGTATTTAGTTCTTATACCAAGTTATGAGCAGCATGATGGCTCAGTGGTTAGCACTATTGCTTCACAGCAAGAAGGTTGTGTGTTCAATCCCCAGTTGAACCTGAGGTCCCTCTGTGTGGAGTTTGCATGTTCTTCTCGTGCTTGTGTTGGTTTTCTCCGGATACTCCGGTTTCCTCCCACAGACCAAAAACATGCATGTTAGGCTGCCTTCAGGCCCAGGCCTCCCTTGCAAAAGAGATCTGTGATCTCAGTGTGATTTGTCTGGTTAAATAAAGGTTAATAAATAAATGAGCAGTGCAGTGACACTCACGACATGACGTCTCATCCGTGTAGTCCAAACAATCAGCACTGCCATCGCATTTGAAACGTTCAGCGATACAGTGCCCGCTCCCACACTGGAAGTAGCCAGGGTGACAAGTGCGCAGCTCTGCAGCACAAAACATAACATAATGAAAATCTATGTAAAATATCAGAGACAAATTAAAAACAATCCAAATTTTATGATCTTCCTAAACTGCTTTCAGGTTCTACAGCAGCCATCTGTCTTGTCTTCAGTGTACAGTAGACATTTTTGTTTGTAGACTGAGTAATCTGGTTTTCAATAACTAACTGTTGGTGGTCCCGTCTGTCTGCGCCTCAGACTTGGAAGTTTTATTGCTTCTTTGTTTAGTGCAGCTCCTCCATCATTCACGAACGGTCCAGAACCCGAGCCAAAACAAAGAGCCTCCACTTACCGCAGTCCCTTTCATCCGAGTTGTCCTCACAGTCGTTGTCATGGTCACAGACCCAACGGTCGGGAATGCAGCGCAGATTGTCACAACGAAACTCACTCTCAGTGCACGAGCGTGGCGCTGGGAGAAAACACGGAAACAAAATAAAGCAAACGCAGAACTTTTGGTTTTAAATTCTTATAATAAAGTCACGTTGCTTACAAGAATGCAGACGTTTTTGTTGTCCCTTTTCTTATCATCTTACTCTGACTTTTTGAGCATTTATTTATTGTTCAAACGAAACAACAAGATAATGTGAGAAGCAACTCGTCCACACTGAAATCGTAAATGTGCTCGTTTCAAATGTACTTGTCCTCAGCAGTGCAGCGCACTCGGGAGCTGCGCCTCCTTATACTCCAAGCCTTTTCCTTTGAAAAGCTCCATTAAACTTATTGGCTGCCATGTTTAGATTCTCCAGAGCAAAGGGTGACTGACTCCTTCACTCCCTTTTTCTGACACATCGAGGACAGACTGTTTTTCCAGGCGCTGATAACACTACCTCTCCCACCACCGCACTCAGCACGAGTCTCAGAAATCCACATCAAATGTCAGACCAAACAATAGCAGAACTATTTTCTGCCACTCCTGGCTTCTTAACTATAGCAATATCCAATTAAATACTGGTTTGATACAATGAAACATACTGAAATACAGTTTGATGTGTGTGTTTGAGGTAATATCACTCACTGCAGCTGCGTTCATCGGAGTTATCCCCACAGTCATCGTCGCCATCGCACTTCCATCTCAGCGGGATGCAGCGATGGTTGTCGCAGCGGAAATCTCCAGTTGGATCACAGCTCACTTCATCTAGATAAACAATGAACTTATGAAGGCTGCTTTAGGTCATTTCCTCTCATCAAATAAATAAAACTGCAGTTAATTCAACCATTTATCTAGATACTTTTATAGCTCTTCAACATGTGCAGATTTTATGTTAAACAGATGTTGCGTTCTAGAAAAGGCTGTTTTAGCTAATAAAGTTTGGCATCATTGTAAAATTGTTAATTAAACAAAAAAAGTATAGGGCATGAGCTAAACAAACATTCCTGAAGTTACTCTACACATTTGAGCTCTTTCTTCAGGGGGAGCTAAACTGTGATACAGTATGAACATCGGGCATCCCTGACTCCATCAATAGATTTGAATGAAATTTAATCCAAAAACTGGAAATTTTACTTGTGAGATTAATAGTAGAAGAAGGTAAAAAGTATGTGATTAATAGACTACTTGAAATAATCCTACAGTGTAATTGTTACTTATACACCATAATGTTCAATTCATACTAAAAATGCTTCTCTTACACAAAAATCCCTTCATTCTTCACACTTGTTTTATGATGCTTAGGGCGGTGTGGGCTATTCCAGCTGACACTGAACTAAAGGGCAGACTGAGAACTGACCTTATCAGCCAAAAGGCTAACAACCATACAGTACACCCATATTTCAAAATCTGATAAATTAACAGGATTATCTCTTGACTGAAAAGAACATGGAGCACAACAGAGAAATCACGAAAAACCTTCCACCACCCCCCACCAAAAAAAATAAATAAAAAGAGAAGAAGGTAGCCAATGTGCAAACTAAAGATCAATTTAGTTGGTGACCATCCTTATCACAGTTTTGTGCAAATGTAAACAAAATTTATGGAACAAAAATAAAATTTACAAAAGCCTAAATTAATATGCACAAATAATAGGGGACTATTATATATCAAGTGCCATGCATTCCTCCTGACTCTCATTACCCTTGATTCGCATACTTTATGTAGATGTTAGTGACTGACGTGGTAATGTTCAAAAACAGTGTGGTGTTCATGATCACAGAGCAGAAACAGTGATGTGGGACTGATATTGTCATTGCAGGATTTCAGTAACATTTCATGTTTAATATCATGAAGCTCTATGGATCACCTGATTTTTATCAAACACTTCTGACAGTACAATTCATTGCAGATTCATTCACTGCTAACTCCATCTTCCCCCCTTTTTTAAACAAATTTATAGATTTAGGTTAAAAACACCAACAACTTTACTCATTACATCAGGCAGTTAAAGGTAAAACATATGCTAATTAATTTGGGGGTAATTTTATGAACGCGCACAATAAGGCTGTCATTAACCAGGAAATGTCCAGGCTTCTAATATTATTTCAAGTGTCTCTTTGAAATAAAAGACCTGGTGTTTTTTAAATTAAAAAGCAAAGGTCATAAAGGGAGGAGAGCAGGCTGCCACAGACAGATGTGTGAGCTCTGCTCATGCCAGTATCCTGCATGTCTGAAGAGGATAAGGCTGCGGGAGATGAGAACCACAGAAAGCAGAGGAGTGCAGCAGAGCTGGTCTGAGCTGTCTCTACCACTTGGTGCTGGGGGGTCAAAGATAGCACAGTGTTCACTAGTCCTGCCCTCCTTCACCCTCCACCTGGCCCATCTTCTGCATTCTTACAAGAAGATTAGCACAGATCTCCCCTCCTGCACAGGCATGGCACTAATGGAGCGAGGGCTTGAGATAAGAGAGGCTGCGACCGAGTGAGTTTGAATCAAAGTGCAAAGAGACTTCTGCGAACCCTGCCCCCACGCAAGGACAGAGCAACATTGTGCACAACGTATACACACGTATGCTGACTCATACCAACGAACAGCTCATAAATCTGTGGTGCTCCCAGGGAAAGGTAAATCTTGGGGGAGGGTGACTGGTGAGGCGCTCTCCATCAGCACCTCCCAGCACCAAAGTTACACGGGAGTCTGAAATGTTGGCTAATTGCTTTTCATTCACCCCTAAAGAATTCTCTAGAGTTAGATCAATGAAAATCCACCAAGCACAAAGTGAAAATAACTGCTCGACTGTGCACAAGACTCACGGCAGCTCTGCTCGTCGCTGTCGTCTCGGCAGTCGTTGTGACCGTTGCAAACAGACCACAGAGGCACACAGCGGTAGTTGGTCTTGCAGTCAAATTCTGTGTGGTTGTCACATCGATATGTTGGCCCCACTGTAGAAAAAGAACAATAAGCAGGACCAATTACCAAAAACAAACATCAAAAAGTTTTTATTTATTTATTTATTTTTTTCAATAAGGCAACAGCTTTGGTTCAATATCTCCTTTTGAAATTTATAGAATCTGAGCCAAAAGTTTACAGATGATTATTAAAGCCACAAAAGATGCTTCAGATTACTCACTGCATTCCTCTAGTGGTTCATCTGAATTGTCACCACAATCATTATCAACGTCACATTTCCAGCTCTGCGGGATGCAGCGCCCGTTGCGGCACCTGAACTGTCCAGGGTGACAAGTCCGTGTGGAGCAGTGGGCAGGGTCTTCGTCAGACTGATCACCACAGTCATCCTCGCCATCGCACTGCCATGGCTCAGGGATGCACCGTTTATTCGCACACTGCCACTGATGGCTTTCACATTGGTGTGTAGCTAAAAACAAAGTCGGGTGATTCAGTTGACAGATTTGAACATGAAAAACATAAAAACGTGTTCAGTATGATAACGTGAAGCCCTGATAAACACATTGCAAATATATAAACCCACCACACAGAACAGCATCTTCATCCGAACCATCAGGACAGTCCCGGTTGCTGTTACAAAGGAAATGTGAACTGGTGCAGTTCCCATCGTTGCACTGAAATTGGCCAAGTCTGCAGTGGCGAGTCGGGCAAGTGGAGGGCTCATCTGAGCCGTCTCTGCAGTCCCGCTGGCCATCGCACTTCCACCAGACAGGAATACAACTGTTGATGCAAAGCAGAATGATCAACTCGTGTTAATGTCCATCAGCATTTTGAACAACACAAACCAAACAAACTCTCTTTAAAAGGCTTGATTACAGTATTCACAGAGAAAATAAATCCTAACAAACCGTTCATTGTTTGCACATCTGTACTGGGTGCTGGTGCACATGGGAAGGCATCGGGTCACACCTCCCATTTGAACAGTCAGGAAATGGTCGGGGCACTCACAGGTGTGTTCGCTCCCCCCATGACGGATTAGGCACAGGTGTGAGCAGCCCCCATTGTTCAGAGCACAGGGATTGTTTACTATGACAGGAAGAGACACACACACACATATCAGTTTACCACAGTTGGTCAAGTGTGTGTCTTGTGAAGACTCTTTAAAATGTTCAACTTACCAATGGGCTGCCTGTAAGGATGGCATACATGGATGTCAAACGGTCTGTGCGTGGTGTTAACTAGAACTTCACGACCAGAGCCGTCATATTTGTTGCCTTTCTCCACTGTGCGTGTGTTCCAGTCAGTCCAGTATACAAAATCCTCAAACACAGTCAGTGCAAATGGATGGGGTAAATTCCCATCATACACTGTGTGTCTGTGCTGACCGTTCAAGTCAGAGAATCTGAGAAAGAGAATATCATTCTAAAGGTTAGAGATCTTTGTCTTTGTCACGCAAATGAAGTAAATGTGTTCACCTCCTAATGAACTTACTCAATGTAGTTGAGGTGGGCGTCTGACCAGTAGAGTTTGTCGTTTGTGTAGTCGATCGTGATACCGTTGGGCCACTCGAGCTTTGTGGTGATGATCGCTGTTTTGTTGGTTCCATCCATTCCAGCTCGACCAATAAAAGCTTTATCTCCCCAGTCTGTCCAGTAGACAAATCTGACAGGGAGTCAAAGAAAATCTATTTAGGACTGCTGTACATTAGTCTCAATGTTGGCCGTCAATGAATAAAAATAGATCAACTTTAAAACCATTTCAGTCATTATGAACCCACATGTGATTGATAAAACCTTCAGTTTTAGATCATCCTGATAAAATGTTTAAAATGAAAAAAAAAAAAAAACCTACTTTTAAAGAACTTCTATGTTCATGCTTAACCAGTTTAAACATAATATGCCAATGACCATAACTCATTATGACAAATGCAAGTGTTTTTTTTTACACTTTTTGCGTCGTTGTTTAGTTTTTGCTTTCAGAATTGTTACACAACTAAAAACAGCAAAACCTTTTTACATAATGTAAAGAAACAAACTACTAGAACACACATATATATTGGCGTTTTTCAATAAACAGAGGATTTTTTTTTTTAAATAACTGAATATTTTTTTGTGTTTAAAAGCCACTAATGTATATATTATTATTGTTTTAAATAAATAAATATGTTTGAGTGATAAAAGAAAACCCAAAGTATGCGTTACTATAACGTGCAAATTCCTCACCCATATTTGGGATGCAGAACAATTCCTCTTGGGTTTTCAAAGCAGAAAGTGTTGTTGGCATCAACGCAGTGTTCAGCCAGTTTCCTGACAAAGCGACCATCTAGTTCAGACACTTTGAGACAATCCAAAAAACTGTCCACCCAGTACAGCTTCCTGGCTACCCAGTCAACCGCAAGGCCCTCCCCGTGCAGAACTCCATTAACCACAACCTCCCTGTTACTGCCGTTGAACGACATCCTTTCTATCACTCTACGGTTTACATCAACCCAATAGAGTCGCTTGTCAACGCGATCGAAGTCCAGCGCGACCACGCTGGTCAGGCCCTGAAGAATGAGGGAGTAGGCCTGCCCATTTGTCGACAGGTTCCTGAGATAATAGCGGTTGCTGAAGATGAGATAAGGCGAGATGTTGCTGTTCTGACGGCAGCTGTGTCCGTCTGGCTCTCGGAGGAATCCTGGAGAGCACTTGCACATGTAGGATCCGACAGTGTTTTCGCAGATCTGACTGCACACGCTCGGTGTCTCTGCACACTCGTTGATATCATCGCATGTTTTCCTGTCAGACATGAGACGGTAGCCGGGACGGCAGGTGCAAATGAAGCTGGTGGGCGTGTCAGTGCAGTTGTGATCGCAGTGGTGAATGAACGGGTCCGTGCATTCATTAATACCTACGTTAGAGAAGAGGAAAAATGTCATGAAAATGTGATGCGTTTTACAAACAGCTGTTGCTTGATTACAATTTGTGGCTGTCATTTTTGTTTTTACAATTCCAGAATGCAGATTTTCCACTGGATGGAGCATAAACTGTTATAAATAAAAAAGTCTTTTTTTAAAGAAAGAGAAGAAAGAAGAATAAATAAATAATAAAAAAGAAGAAGATAAGACGAGAGACCACCATGACAAAACAACATGCACAGCACAATGCCACCCACAATATCACCATGAAACATTCGACATCGCACAATGAATCATCTAGCTTCCGCCACTACCCAACCTAGCGTGCATCTGTCAAAGCACCTGAATCCAAACACCCGCGCAAGCACGCCCACCACCACCAGATTTCTCCATTTCTCTTTTTAAAAAAAAAATAAAAAAAAATAATAATAAAAAAAAAAAATTAAAAAAAATTGAGCGATGATGATAAGTTCATTGAAACACTTCACAATGTTTCTACACTTAAACTGAGCTCACAAAAAAAAAAAAAAAAAAAAAAAAAAAAAAAAAAAAAA